GAACAAGATTTTGGTAACTATTTTCTTAATTCTCTCCAAAATGGTACATAATGAGCACCATGCTTGGATGCATGCAGAGATGCAAATTCATTATACAGTCAATGCCTGAATGTACTATAGTCTGAATCTTCCTGCAGAACACCTGCTGAGAAAAACTAACTGCAAGAGTAACAGATATTTAGAACAGTTTAGTCACTAGTGATAAAACTGTAATAAAATTTTAGTATCAACAATAATTGGTAAAATATGCTAGGTATTAGGTTAAAATAGATATAATTATTATTTTTAAAAATTTTGGTGCCAGGGATCAAAAATTGTCTTTTGTAACTTAAAGTTTCACCAAAGGCTGTGATAATTAATGAACAACATACGTTGTGAGGAGTCTCAGGCAGCAGGTATGTTACTATCAGCTTCTACACACATAATTTAACCAATACTCTTTCTTAAATCCTCAATGTCTACGGTACAGTGTCACTATTCTTATTTACAAATAAGAAAATAGGAATTTAAACTCATTTTAAGGTCAACAAGTTAAAACATATGAGTGAAGAATGCAGATCTAGTTGTCTAGTTTTGGGTCTGGGAGATGATTCAAGTGTTAGAGCATAGGTTGAAGCAGCCATGAAGCCTCGAGTTCAATCCCCAGCACCACATATATCCTTGCTCCCCTGCCAGATATGCCCCCTCAGCCCCGCAAAAAATACCTCTTTTATGACCAAATATTCTCTTTCCCATAGATAAAATATAGCTGCTTATGAAATTATGATCTGTTATAAGCCCTAACAGAAATAGTAGAATGAGTAGGAGAAGTGGGATAAGGCCTACACAACGTTAAAAAACAAACAAACAAACAAAAACAACACTTCTATTGTTTAAACTAAAGGAAAAATAACTATATACATACAAATTTAGTGTCTTCTTTTTTTGGTAAGTCTGCTGCTCTGGACTTACTCCTGGCTCTAGGCTGCAAGATCACTCCTGGCAGGGATTTGGGGACCATATGAGGTGTCAGGAATCTAACCTGGGTGTGTTAAATGCAAGGTAGGTGCTCTACCTGCTGTACTATCTCTTTGGCCCTTAGGAAATAAGCCTTATTACCTTTTTCTTGGGGGGGGGGCGGGTGGATGTGGGTGGGGGAGCATATCTAGCAGTGCTCAGGGTTTACTTCTGGCTCTGTGCTTGCTTAGGGATCACTCCCGGCTGGAGCCTGGGGACCATATAGGGTGTCAGAAGTTGAATGTGGGCCAGTTGTGTGCACAAGTGCCCTACCCACTGTTCTATCTTTCCAGTCCCATTATTGTTTTTTTTTTGTTTCAGGGCACACTGGTGATGCCCAGTGCTTACTCCTGGCTCTGCACTCAGAGATCACTCCTGGTATTTATTCAGTAATACATATGGAGTGCAAAGGATTAAACCTGGGTCAGTCACATGCAAGGCAAATGCCCTTCCTGCTGTATGCACCACTGCTCCATTTCTTAAGGGAATTTTCATTTTAAGTAACCATGATTAAGTCTGAAAATAAAGAGTTGTTTTATGTCTTTAATTCAAAATACAATTAATACCTAAATAATTAATACCAAAATTCAATTAATACCTAAATAATTGTGTAAGGGTTTGGGCCACACCAACAGAGTCTAGGGCTTATTCCTGACTGTGTTCAAGAGTGACCACTGGCCATGTTCACTCTTGTACAGCGCTGCGGGATTCACCTGGGGTTGTCTGCACACAAGGGAAGTGCCTTAACACCTGTATTACTCCCCGGTTCAACGGCTAAGATTATTTTTTAGCACATTTAACATGAAAGAATTCTAGATCAATTATTCTCCAAGTTCCAAAGACTGGCTGTCAATTTTACTTTTCATTCAAAACTTAAAAACTACATCAAGTAATGCGTTCCCATTTTTTGAAAGAGCAAAGTGGGATTTCTCATTACTTACTGTCCTCCCGTTGTTCATCGATTTGCTTGAGCGGGCCCAGTAACATCTCCATTGTGAGACTTTCTTATTACTGTGTTTGGCATATTCAATACTCTCGGTAGCTTGCCAGGCTCTCCGAGAGGGGCGGAGTTATCGAACCTGGCTCGGCCAGGCTGACTCTGCACAGGCAAATGTCCTACCGCTGTGCTATCACTCCAGCCAGCTCATTACTTAAACACATTAAAAAACATCAGGGCTGGGAGCATGCTAAACAAGTGGAAGCCCTGGGTTCGATCCCAGTATGGCATGGCCCCAAGCACTGCCTGGAGCTACCCCCAAGCAAAAAGCCAGGGGCATATTTGTGACACCACTGGATGTGACTCAAAAATCAAACACCAAATCAAATCAATGAGAAAACAGAGATTATACCTTTATGTTAAAAATGCCACCTTACCAAGTTCCTGAGGTTTACTTTTTCTAACAAAGAATTTGGTTTTACAAAATAAAGAATAGTAGACAAGAGCTGCTAATTTGCCAAGTTTCCTCTAGTCTAATACCAAATAGTACACTATTAATGTAGCACTGTCCTCCCCTTGTTTCATTGATTTGCTCGAGTGGGCACCAGTAATGTCTCCATTGTGAGACTTGTTGTTACTGTTTTTGGCACATTGAATTGCCATGCTCTGCTGTGCGGGCGGGATACTCTCGGTAGCTTGCCAGGCTCTCCGAGAGGGATGGAGGAATTGAACCTGGGTCAGCCACATGCAAGGCAAATGCCCTACCAGCTGTGCTATTGCTCCAGCCCACCATTAATGTAATTCTAAAATTTTTTTTTGGTTTTTGGGCCATACCTTATGGTATTCTGGGATCATTTCTGGTGATGCTCAGGGGACCATATGAACTGCTGGGGATGGAAACCAGGTCAGCAGTGTGAAAGACAAGTGCCCTAACTGCTATACTATCTCTTCAGTGTGCAATTCTTTATATTAAATATTTTCTGGTTTTTCTTGAGGGGGCAAATGCAGCAGGGCTCAAGAATCACTCCTGGGGGGCCTAGGAGACCATATTGGGTGTCAGAGATCAAAACTGGGCTGGCCATGCACAAGGCAAGTGTCCTACTGCTGCCCCAATATTAATATTTCAATGATATTTTGGGCTTTCCCTTTTTTGATCTTTTCTTATATCACACTCTGCAGTGCTGGGGGGCCATCCTCAGCTCTATCTGTGGGAACAGCTTCTGGCAGTGCTTGGGGGAGTATATGGAACCAGGGATTGAACGGGGCCTCCTCTATGCAAAATCAGTCAGTTGTGCTCCCTCTCCATCTTGATCCTAATAAAACAAATCTAGTATGATGAGTAACAAGATTGTGGTAAAAGGACATTTACGAAAGCAAAATCTCAACTTTTTTTGGGTGGGAAAGGGGATACTGACCTCAGGTCCATCAAAGTCAGACTTGGTTCAGAGGCCCACAAAGTGCTGGGCTTCAAATGCAGGATATGTGTAGTTCCATTTAAGTCACAACCTTGGCCCTCAATCCAAAAAACCAAAACAAAACAAAAAACCAATTCCCCCCCCCAAAACAAACAAACAAAACAAAACAAAAACTCCCTCCTATTTATCAATGCCTTCTTTTGTATAATTTCTCCCATTTTTATTACTGAAGATACTTAATTGAGGCTTTAATTTCTTGTTTTCTCTAAGTTCTGTTTGTTGACTTAGTCGCAGAATACACATTATTTTCCAGTTAGAAAAATGTGCTTAGCTTTTCTTATTTAAATCCATGTCTTTTACCCACACCATTAACATTCTTTTCTAATTAACAACTTCTAATGTTCTTTTAGAAATACTCATTAGCTAAATTTCTCAAGCACTTTCATGCTATACAGCTTGTTTTCTTTTAATCTATGGCCACAGAAAACTGTGTGAACTCTGTTGAGACAGCAGATTCCCGAGCTCTCCCACGGACGGTCTCTCTTTTTGTTTCTGAAATGTTCACATTCTAATGTTTATCAATGAATATAGGATGCTTTTTTTCCCTTTTCAATGGGGGCCCACTTTCAGGGTACTGCTGGCAGGTAGGTCCTCCAGTGCTGGGGCTGAACTCAGGACCTCACACATGCTAGACAGGTGCTCACCTGTGCCATCTAGCTCTTCTGCCTCACATATGTATCATTCTTTTTAATGTAATTCTGATGCACTCCTCTGCTTATAATACCCAAAAATATCTGTGCTAACTTAAAAACTTTTAGTATAAATAATACATGTCATCCTAGCACCATGTCTTGACAAGATGCAGTTAGTGCTTCTGAAATAAGATGAGCTTGAAAATAAAGAATATTTGAAGCCTGAAGAAACCCTGCCAATTCTTTAATGCAAATGTGTTTGTATTTAACTATAATTATTTTAATTTCTGTAATGAACCTTCATTCTTATTCTAAATATAAGGAAGTAAATATAATCACAAGACTTTAAGGAGTCTGAGGTAAAGGTAAGGTAAAGGCCCTCCTGTTGTTCATCGATTTGCTTGAGCGGGCCCAGTAACATCTCCATTGGAGACTTTGTTGTTACTGTGTTTGGCATATCGAATACGTCACAGGGAGCTTGCTAGGCTCTGTCGTGCGGGCGAGATACTCTGGGTAGCTTGCCGGGCTCTCCAAGAGGGGCGGAGGAATCGAACTCAGGTCGGCCATGTTGGCCGCTTGTAAGGCAAACGCCCTACCGCTGAGATCAAGACTAATCTTGAAAGCTGGGACATGGGTCAGCTTCAAAGCTCAGGTAGACAGTGCAAGTGGGTAGTAGCTAGTTGAGTAATTATATATTTCCACTCCTATCACCTTACATTCGGGAAGGAAGAGACTTATGCCTCATCTACTGCTTAGTCACTAGTCTTGAATGCTTGGTTTTAATAAGAAATTGGCAATATTAATACTAATTCTCAAGTTATACCTCAGATGTCATTAGTATAGAGTTGAAAGAAAAAAACTGAGCCCGTTACACTCTAAACACTGAAATAATAAAAATACTATGTGCTAAGTTTGGAAGACAAACATATAATTCCAGAAATCAGAACCAGAATTGCGTACCTTGTGCAAGCATGTTAAATTCCAAGAACAATGCTATGTGGTAAAGTTCCATGGCTTCCTCTGCCCTGGTCATGTTTGGCTTCCCTGCGACGAGAGCCTGGACTTCACTGAGACTGCCCACAGAAGGGCTGCAGTGCAACACCGAGAGGTCCACCACGTCAGTGTACATACAGTGTAATATCACTTTTGCATATTTTTTTGGTATAATGGTCTCATCTAATATAATTCTTGTAGGAGTCCTCAGAGTTCGGTCTGTGATTTCTTCACCAGTTCGTATCCTCCTTTGTAATAAATTTCGAAAGAATGGGGACCTTGCTGAAATAATAGCTTTGTGAGCCTTGAGCTCTTCATCTAAACAGCTCTGATTGCCACCAAAAGCTTCAACCAGTTCAGAGTCAGAAGAGAAACTAAGGACGACATCGTAATAACACATGTAATCAAAGAGTCCACGCATATCTACATCGAGGGGATTTGGTGTTCCGAATTCTTCACTAAGCTGAACAAGGATATCGACATTTTGAAACCTTGAGTCCTCCATTCCAAACTCTCCTGTATAAAGGTAGTGTAGCAAAGCAGAAAACATGGGCATGTCTATACCAGCTGTACTGATATCCATGATGATCTCTGCCCCGTATTCAGGTGAGGAAGAAAGCAATGTTTTAAAAAATGGACACCTTGCCGCCAAAATGGCACGATGAACAGGAAAACAAGTTTCTTGAAATATTAAGTCTACATCAGTACAATACTTGAACTCATACAGGTCGGCCATATCTTTCTGCAATGTCCGGGCTTCTGGTCTAGCCAAACTGGCTTGTAGAGAAAGTTCCTTTAAGGCTGAAGTTCCCTCATATTCCTCCACCAATGCATTGACGTCTCTAACATCCCACCCAGAGAGGAGTTCTCGCATCTGCTTGGCATGATCAGCAGACCTATTAGATTTTCGACGTTTAATAAACTTCTTTTTGAGGGTGGCAAGGCCCGAGGTTCTCTTTTTTTTGTCTTGTGGTTTCTCGTGGCCATGGTCAAGGCTATATAATTTTGACTCGCAGCCATAGCCTTGCTGAGAAAAGGATGATGTCCCTAGAAAGAAAATTAAACAAATGAAAATATGTTTCATTTTCTTAATATTCATTTTCAACATTCACTTTAATATATTTTATGCTTAAAATTTTTACAGGCATTTGAATTGTTGAAATAGAATTGGCTTTTTGTTTTATAAAGGCAGAAAAAAGTTTGAGGAACAGTTTTGGCTTCTGTTTTTCAGACCACAGCCAGGGGCTCCTCCTAGCTCAGTGCTGGGGAGGGAAGCTGTCACTCCTTGGGGAAACTCGTGCTCTCAGGGACTGAATGCCAGCATCTGCATGCAAACCATGTACTCTGGCCGGCTAAACTATCACTCTGACCCCAAATAATTAAGTTTTATATATAAATGCAAAGTAGAGTCAGAATAAATTATTCTGTATTTTTTGGTTTTCGGCCACACTCAGCAGTGTTCAGGGAATCATACACAGTATCTTAATACCGGAAGGTTACTCTTAATTTAAAAAAGCTTTTGATGTTATTTTTGATCAAATAACATAGCCGTTAATCATAGATTTTTAGGAACGTGGAAGAATATTTGTGATTATTGTATGCAATATTTTATATGCAATTTTGATCTATATCCTTATAGTACATAATGTTGATTCCCCCCCCACTTTCCTTAACTTTCCCAAAGCTGCCTTTGTTGGGCAACATGTCTGTCACAATTTTCACAGCAATGAAGACTGCTGGTTTGCACAAATTAATTGGTAATTATAGTTAAGATAATCAGAGAAGAAAGCAATGCTATATTGAAGAAATGACTATCAAATGATTGATTGGGATGAAACACATAATAAACTAGATTACATTTGTTGGGGGAAAATTTGAATGCTAAATTATCAGTTGTGCAATAACTTTTCACAACCCAATTTTCTGTTCATTAGCAAAGACCAGTGAAAATACATTCTATTTTTATTTACACTAAAGGAAGAAAATGAAATTAGAAGAACTGAAATGGTTACCTATGAAAGTCTGCTGGGCTTGAGAATTTGCCCCTACCCTCGGGGAACATGAATGAGGATAGTTAGATGCATTAGCACCCATTTTCTTCAGTCACTCAGACCTTCCATCTGCTGGTTCTTCAGAACACAACTCCAGAGGCCTCCACAAACTTTCAACCCTGGATCCAGCAGCCTCTTTTCATCCATTTCTTGATATGAAACAAAATAAATTTTATTCATTTATTTAAGTGTTAACTCAAGTCGTTCAGCAAAAAAGGTAAGCTACTGAAAGTTGCTTTTATTTGCAAACAATGACATGCTGTCAAATCCACAAATTTAAATATAAAAAATTCAGAACATACAAATAGGTTTGAATTATAATTCAGCCTGGCAATTTTGTGTGATAAAACGTATCAACTGCATACATTCTAAGAGAGTAAAAATCAACATACTAGACTAAAATGTGTAAAGGTAAAGGTAAAAGGTAAAGGCCCTCCTGTTGATCATCGATTTGCTCGAGTGGGCCCAGTAACGTCTCCATTGGAGACTTTTGTTGTTACTGTGTTTGGCATATCGAATATGTCACGGGGAGCTTGCCAGGCTCTGCCGTGCGGGCGAGATACTCTCGGTAGCTTGCCGAGCTCTCGAGAGGGGCGGAGGAATCGAATTCGGGTCGGCCATGTTGGCTGCATGCAAGGCAAACGCCCTACCGCTGTGCTATCGCTCCAGCCCGACTAAAATGTGTAGTCATAAAAATTATGTTCAAGCATAGGGGAAAGTATTTAAACTAAAAAGAAATATACCCATTTTTTAAATTCTAGGGATAAGTACCAGTAGTTATAACCTAGGTAATGAATGAACATTTAAGAAGCTGAAACCAAAACTACACAAAAAAGCAGATAATTAAGCAATCAGTTTGTGTTTCACTAATTTAGATGAAATTACTTAAATTGATCTCTAATCTGTGTAATTGGGCATTTCGCTAAAAGAGTACTGAAGGAAAGGTGGGGCCAGGAATCTTTTTTTCCTTTAATTTTTCACTTTCCTTTCCTCTTGTTATTTCTGCCCTGACCAGGGGTTGCATACTAGTTCACAGTGCTCACACACCTTTAGCTAAAGTGTTTGCATACAGCTGGTTGTGATATACCAGAGATCCCAGGCCCCATAGCTGCCGGGAATGCTCTGAGCTTGTGGGGCTTATGGCTCGCCAGCACTGTTAGACTCTCTCTGGGCATAATTATCTTTAGACTATTTGTTCTGTAATAATTTTAAAAGAAGTCATTATAGAGACATAAAGCAAAACAAAACAAAAAAACAAAACCAATCCCCCTCAACTCTATCCTCCCCTAGTCCTGAAATAAAAGTACAGATTTCTATTACTTGAATTATGACAATATGGGGAGAGCATTACCAGTAAGAGAAAAATTACAGCCATTATAGAATAAATTCCACACCATGAAATTTAATTTTTAGAACTGCCTGGGAGATACACTAAGCAAAAAGGAAAGAAAAAAACTTTAATAAGAGACTAGAATAGGAATGCTTCTAAAGCATGATTCCATCTGCACAGATACAATTTACCTGACTAAAAGGATAACTGTTAGAAGATCTTCTAACTTCATAATGAAGGATGAGGCTTTAACAAATAGTTTATACACACACACACACACACAATCCCAAAAAACCTGCTAAAGAGAACCATGTCAAGAGTCTTAAAGTTTATTTTCATCTCTGTTTCTGACATAGCATAAGTTTAGGAATTTAAGGTTCAGGGCTGGGGAGATGGCTCTAAGCACTGGAGTGAGCGCTCTGCCTGCTGAGGCCTCTGGCTCCATTGTTGAGAAACAACCTCAAGTACCCTGCTGGGAGTAAGCGGCTCCCAAGCACCTGTGAGCATGGCCCAACCCCCCAAAGAAGGAAAACTATTTATTTGGACACACACACACACACACACACACACACACACACACACACACACACACAAATATGCTTATCCACACACAGAATTACCTACTTTAGAGTTCAAGAGAGAAGCCAGGAAGTTTCCTGATTAGATTTTATAATACGTATTACTAACTGTAATCTGAACACACTTCCTGTCTGGAAATTACCCACCTACTCTAGGAGAACAAATACATTAGATGTTTTATGCCTGAAGTCAGAGACCAACACAGCAAAGCAAACAGAAACATGACCTGGTGTCCTTTAAGCACCCAGAAAGGAATTAAAATATTTAAAACACTACTTTGTATCATTAAATGACCCAAAAATGATCACTTCTTCCAGTATTCTCAGTCTTCCCACCCTTCCAACCAGCCACCCCCCCGCCCGCCCCACACACAAACACAACCATAGCTGTGTTCAGGGGATCATATGCCATGCCAGGGATCAAAGATCAAACCTGGGGAATACTATGAACAAGGCAATCACTTTAAGCCCTATACTATCTCTTTGGTTGCCCCAAAAGTCAGTTTTCTTAATGATGCACCGTGTAAGTAAATTCACATTTTCCTGTTCTTTATTAGAAATGTAGAAAAGATGGCTTTTAAAAATTATTTCTTACGTGTATTTTTTTGTTCTGGGGCTACACCTGGTGGTACTACCAGTTCTGTTCTTAAGGGATGATGCTCCTGGTGGTTCCTGAGAATTATGAGATGCGAGGGTTCAACCCAGGGATCGACTCCTGCATGCAAAGCATGTGTTCCATCTCACTGAGCTCTCTCTGGCCCTAAAAATTCATTTTTAATACTGGTGATTCTTATAAATTAGAAACAGCATTTGTCTATATTAGCTTCAGTTTAAACATAAAAACAAACCTACTAAATCTCAGTTTTCAGGTTGAACCCTTAAAAGTTTCAAGCACTTAGGGTCAAAGAGATAGTAGGTTAGGGCACTGGCCTTACCTGGGTTCAATCCTTGGCATCCATATAGTCTCCTGAGCACTGCCAGGAGTGATTCATGAGTGCAGAGCCAGGAGTAACCCCTAACATCACTAAGTGTGGCCCCTGCCAAAAAAAAAAAACCTTCAAGAACTTGGGGCTGGAAAGAGTACAGCAGGTAAGGCGCTTTGCCTGGCGCGTTTGATCTCTGGCACCATAGACAGTCATCCTACAAGTACCACCAGGAGTGATCCCCAAGCACAGAGCCAGGGCTATGCCCTGAGCACAGCTGAGTGTAGTAAAAAAATAAATAAATAAATAAAAATTAAAAAAAAAAGAAAAGCTTTGCGTACTATTGTGCACTTTTAGTTTTTCTTTAAAAGAACATACGGTTTCGAAAGCCAAGTTTGTGGCCTCATTTATAGTCAAATCCCATTCTTGAAGACTGGTATTTGAAAGATGTAACGGACACAATTCTCTTAAGTAAAGTCCAAAACAGGGGCTGGAGAGCCAGCACAAGGGTTAAGGTGCTTGACAGGCATAAGATATTAAGCAAAATAAAGCCTTTAAGGAAAAAAAGGACTTTAAAAGATGTGTTTTGAATATGGAATTATTGAAGGCTCATAGAAAGTGTTTCTAAAGCATAGTCCAATGGAGGCCTTTTATTTCCTCCTTTAATTCAATCTTTTTTGGTTTTTGGTACACATCTGAAGCTGGAGCGATAGCACAGCGGGTAGGGCATTTGCCTTGCAAGCGGCCAACATGGCCAACCTGAATTTGATTCCTCCGCCCCTCTCGGAGAGCCTGGCAAGCTACCGAGAGTTATCTCGCTAGCACAGCAAAGCCTGGCAAGCTACCCGCGACGTATTTGATATGCCAAACACAGGATCAACAAAGTCTCACAATGGAGACATTACTGGGCCCGCTTGAGAAAATTGATGAACAACGGGAGGGCAGTGACAGTGACAGTGGTACACATCTGATAGTACTTTTAGGTTTCTTCCAAATTCTTGGGGTTAATCTGTGTAGTTTTAGTACTGAGGTCATATTTTTTCTCAAATTGCTCAGGAAACAACTTCACTTATTTTCATAGGTAATTCAACAACAGGTCAAATGGTTGATTTATTTCGTCCAATCCACTGTCTTTCACAATCACGATCACAATCATCCTGTTGTTCCTCGATTGCCTCGAGCAGGCCCCAGTAACATCTCCTTCGTCCTAGCCCTGAGATTGTAAAAAGTGCCATATTCAAGGCTCTTTCAGGGTTAGGAGAATGAGACCCATCATTGTTACTGGTATTTGGCGTATTGGGTACGCCACGGGGAGTTTGCCAGACTCTGCCGTGTGGGCAGGTAACATTCGGTAGCCTGCCAGGTTGTCCAAAGCAAGAATGAGATAATAAGATGTCCAGGAACTCTGGGTCTTGGCCGTTGATGGGATTACATGGCGCCAGGGGGCCAAGACACAGAGACTATAAAACCCAGCTCCCGGAAGAGAACAGCACAGAGTCTCCTGCCCCCACGCTTGGCTGTTCTCGCCGGGGCCCTTTGGAAGGGGGCGGGTTGAGTTTCTTTCCCCATCCCCAGCAGAGCTCTGGCAGCTGAAGACCTCCAGAACCAGCCACCACCATGCTGAGACCACAGTCCACACGCATGAAGGTACCGGCAGAGGAACAAAGGCATGTGGGTCCCAGGGCTAAGATCTCCAAGTCTGCTCGGATCAGGGTTGAGCATCCTCCACCCAGATCCTCCATCTTCCAGTAGGCAGGGGCCACACCACTGCCTTTATATGCTAGAAATGAGGGTTTGTCACAATCCAACCTCTCCAGTGACGTTTCATCCATGCAAGCTTTGTCTCCTACAAAAATAGGATAAAACTCAATCTTGGGTCATATAACAGAAAAGGAAAGAGAAAAAGTCAGCGAATAAGACTGAAACAGGATACACATGGTTTTAGGAGGCCCATGTTCGATCCGTGGCACCAAATAGTCCCCTGAGCACAGCAGCGAGTGACCCCAGGAGCAGCCCCAGCACTGTCAAGTATGGCGCAAAAATGAAAACAAAACAGGGCACTGGGGAGACAGCATAAAGGCTAGAGTTTGCCTTGTAGCCGACCTTGAAGGTGATGAGGAATGGGAGAGGGAAGGGAGGAAGAGAGGAGGGAGAAGGAAGAAAACACTGGTATCAAGTGTCCAAGAAAGAGTTCTCTTGTCACTAATTACCACTGAAGTGGTAACAAGTCACATTAACTTGTATGGGTCTTAAGTTTCTATAAACTGAAACAGGAGTTATCGTAAATTAAGGGAGTTGAAAGAGAATTCCTAAAATTT